CGATTATAATTTGATATGCCACGATGATTTTTTTTTTTTTTGGTTTTGTTTATTTTGAGAAAATTTGAACTTAAAGATAAAAATAGGAGCATGTAACTATCCTGGAAAGCAACAGTTAATTAGATTTTCCTTCAACCAAAAATTTTGATTATGCACTCAATTTGTTCCAAAAGAAAAAAAAAGTTCTTGCCCCAGTACAGTATAAACGGCTCTTCTCATAAAGTCTTGATACAGTATTTCATTTAGAACAGGCATGTCCAAACTACGGCCCGTGGGCCAAATGCGGCCCTCAGACAAATTTTTCTTGGCCCTCAGGCTTCCAGGAGAATTGGCCCAAATGACCTTACATCAATTAAAAATTAACTTTTTACTGCAAGTTTTTTTGAAAATCTACCTTGATAAAGCGAATATTGAAGATTTAGTGTGTGGTTTTGAGGATTTTAGCATGAATAAAGACTGATGGCTCATTCTAAAGCAGGGGTGTCAAACATACGGCCTGGGGGCTTGATTTGGCCCTCCAAGAGCTTTAATCTGGCCCTCGGCTGATTTTCTACTAAAATATTTTAATTATATTTTCTATTAAAATGTTGTTAATTTTCTGTGGTGTTTATCACAGCAGCGTCTCCAGTGTCTCTGTACGTGGCCCCTCCCACCAGAGCAGCACAAATGAAGACTTGTCTCTTTCCAAACGCTCTTAAAGGACGATCGTTTTGACTGTTGACCGTGACACCCTCATCAGAAAAATGTCCAACATGAGAAAACTGGAGCCGAGTGCAGGATTTTACAACAAAAATTGACTTATTCCTATTTGCAGACAAGTTAAAACATTGTGTTGAAATTGGATTTTTCTTAAAGTTTCAGGTTGTTCATAATATTATAACATTTTGTAAAAGAAAGAGTTCATCAATTAAAAAAAGATTTCTGTAATAGATTTGTGTTTCTCTGCACAAATATTAGAACTTATTGTTATTTTTGGGGTTTATATGCCAGGAGTTTTCTGATCCGACCCCTTTGGGAGCCAGTTGGATATGCCCCCTGGACCAACATGAGTTTGACACCCCTGATCTAAAGTGTTAAACATGCACATATTTCTATTATTCAGTGTACTGAGCTCCCGTCTATGGCCTCTGCTTCGTCTGTGTTTAGAAATGTGGCCCTTGATGAAAAACGTTTGACCACCCCTGATTTAGATAATCAGAAAGTGTGCATTAGCAGGCTAGTTGTTGTAAATGTTACAGTCACGGCAAAACATTTTATATACATATGCACTGGTCTCTGGGAGTTGTGAAAAGCTGACATAAACTCATGGTAGGGAATAATGAGGTTGCTTTTAATGCACAATGTGAAGAAGAAGTTTCAATCACTACAAACCATTTAAATAAACTAGTTTCATGTTTTGAAGAGAAAAAATCAGGTAGAGCAGCTTACCAAACTTAAAAATCTCATGCATAAGTGAAGCACCATTCATTTGACTTGAGCGTAGACTTAACCTGTGAGCACCTCTCCAAATGTGACCTGCATTTACAGCTTAGGGAAATATTAGCTTTAGCTCTCAGCCTCTCATTATCCTTACAGTACACGGACTGAAGTGTCAGACTAGTGCTGGCGTACTGTGAGGAGGACATAAAGGATTCCCTGGCTCTTGACTCTGGGTGTGCTCAAATGCTTTGTGGACAGGAGGGGAGACGGAGGTGGTGCCAATTGGCAGCAGGGCACCCTCCGTTTGGCACCACGCGTTGGCCTTGTGTAGGTAATGACATCTTCAACAGGCTGGTTACATGATCCCATACGCCCGCTCTCACCGCCTACGCCTGGGAATCCAGACAAGTGCTCTTCCATTTCTGTCCCACTGTCTCATTATGAACCCCCACACAGGCCGGTCTCCAGGTCCAACACCACTAGCTGCCAGTAGAGTTGTCAGGATACACTGTAAACCCGAACAATTAAGCAGTAATTTAAAAATCGGAGGTAAATGGCCTAACTTTTGTCTTTTTTACATTAATTAAAAACAATAAGAGTCACACAAATCTTTAATTACATTTAGTATTTGAATTGATACTTGCACATATTTTTAATTTACAGTAATTAAAAAAGCAGGATAACAAAACGTAGTTAGTCAACCATTTACCTTTTGTTTTTATTTTACTTAAATAAAAAAAAGTTCTAACAAATTTACTATGCTTAATAAAAAGTGAAAAACATTTTAAATTTTAATGTTTTTACAGAACAGAATAAAAATTCAAAAATAGATTTACTTCATTAAACTATGGATCATTTCAATGGATAGAATAAAGTAAATGGCACAAAAACTTTCACCCCACAGTTGAAGAGTTAACTAAAGTTGATAGGTGTAATAACAGAAACTATATATAAAAAAATCACTTAAAGTATTAGACAAAAGGCCCAAAAATTATCACTATTGCAGAATACTTGACAAATACAAATTCCTAAATTGGGACAACACAATCAAATATGCAGATTTAATTCTGGTTTGCAAAGTTTTTAATCATCTTGCTCCACCTCCTCTAAAGGAGTTTGTGAAAAGAAATCCAAATCGCAGAACAAGAGCAGCTCTAGAGGCGACTGCTCTGTGCCGTTTAGGAAAGGTACTTTTGGACAAACTCTCTTTTGTTTATCGAGCTACTCAAACATGAACACAGAGCTGCTCATGTACGAGAACTTTCAACACTGGCAGCATTTTCTAAAGCTTTAAAACTGTGATGTTCAATGGTCAAATATGTCGCCATGTTTAACCAATTTATATTTTCTTTTATTTTGAAGGGTTGTTGGTTTAACTCTTGGTTTAACTCTTAAACTTTGAACTTTGAACTTCAAATGAACTGTTTGAAACTAATTGTATGTACAGTGAGTGTGTTGTGTGTACAGTGAGTGTGTTGTGTGTACAGTGAGTGTGTTGTGTGTATAGTGAGTGTGTTGTGTGTACAGTGAGTGTGTTGTGTGTATAGTGTGTTGTGTGTATAGTGAGTGTGTTGTGTGTATAGTGTGTTGTGTGTATAGTGAGTGTGTTGTGTGTACAGTGAGTGTGTTGTGTGTATAGTGAGTGTGTTGTGTGTACAGTGAGTGTGTTGTGTGTATAGTGAGTGTGTTGTGTGTACAGTGAGTGTGTTGTGTGTACAGTGAGTGTGTTGTGTGTACAGTGAGTGTGTTGTGTGTATAGTGAGTGTGTTGTGTGTACAGTGAGTGTGTTGGGTGTATAGTGTGTTGTGTGTATAGTGAGTGTGTTGTGTGTACAGTGAGTGTGTTGTGTGTACAGTGTGTGTGTTGTGTGTATAGTGAGTGTGTTGTGTGTACAGTGTGTGTGTTGTGTGTACAGTGAGTGTGTTGTGTGTATAGTGAGTGTGTTGTGTGTACAGTGTGTGTGTTGTGTGTACGGTGAGTGTGTTGTGTGTACGGTGAGTGTGTTGTGTGTACAGTGAGTGTGTTGTGTGTATAGTGAGTGTGTTGTGTGTGTATAGTGAGTGTTGTGTGTATAGTGAGTGTGTTGTGTGTGTATAGTGAGTGTGTTGTGTGTACAGTGTGTTGTGTGTGTAGTGAGTGTGTTGTGTGTACAGTGTGTTGTGTGTACAGTGAGTGTGTCGTGTGTACGGTGAGTGTGTTGTGTGTACGGTGAGTGTGTTGTGTGTACGGTGAGTGTGTTGTGTGTATGTGAGTGTGTTGTGTGTACAGTGTGTTGTGTGTATAGTGAGTGTGTTGTGTGTATGGTGAGTGTGTTGTGTGTACGGTGAGTGTGTTGTGTGTAGTGAGTGTGTTGTGTGTATAGTGAGTGTGTCGTGTGTATAGTGAGTGTGTCGTGTGTACAGTGAGTGTGTCGTGTGTACAGTGAGTGTGTTGTGTGTGTGTATAGTGAGTGTGTTGTGTGTGTATAGTGAGTGTGTTGTGTGTGTATAGTGAGTGTGTTGTGTGTACGGTGAGTGTGTTGTGTGTACGGTGAGTGTGTTGTGTGTACGGTGAGTGTGTCGTGTGTACGGTGAGTGTGTCGTGTGTACGGTGAGTGTGTCGTGTGTACGGTGAGTGTGTCGTGTGTGTAGTGAGTGTGTTGTGTGTACAGTGTGTTGTGTGTATAGTGAGTGTGTTGTGTGTGTATAGTGAGTGTGTTGTGTGTATAGTGAGTGTGTTGTGTGTGTATAGTGAGTGTGTTGTGTGTACAGTGTGTTGTGTGTGTAGTGAGTGTGTTGTGTGTATAGTGAGTGTGTTGTGTGTACAGTGTGTTGTGTGTACAGTGAGTGTGTCGTGTGTACGGTGAGTGTGTTGTGTGTACGGTGAGTGTGTTGTGTGTACGGTGAGTGTGTTGTGTGTACGGTGAGTGTGTTGTGTGTAGTGAGTGTGTTGTGTGTGTATAGTGAGTGTGTGTTGTGTGTACAGTGTGTTGTGTGTGTACAGTGAGTGTGTTGTGTGTACGGTGAGTGTGTTGTGTGTACGTGAGTGTGTTGTGTGTACGGTGAGTGTGTGTGTGTTGTAGTGAGTGTGTGTGTGTATAGTGAGTGTGTTGTGTGTACAGTGTGTGTTGTGTGTGTAGTGAGTGTGTTGTGTGTGTACGGTGAGTGTGTGTGTGTGTTGTGTGTGTAGTGAGTGTGTTGTGTGTGTACGGTGAGTGTGTTGTGTGTGTGTATAGTGAGTGTGTCGTGTGTACAGTGAGTGTGTCGTGTGTATAGTGAGTGTGTTGTGTGTATAGTGAGTGTGTTGTGTGTACAGTGTGTGTGTTGTGTGTACAGTGTGTGTGTTGTATGTATAGTGAGTGTTGTTGTGTGTATAGTGAGTGTGTTGGTGTGTGTACAGTGTGTGTGTTGTGTGTACAGTGAGTGTGTTGTGTGTACAGTGAGTGTGTTGTGTTGTACAGTGAGTGTGTTGTGTGTGTATAGTGAGTGTGTGTGTACAGTGTGTGTGTGTGTGTGTGTACAGTGTGTGTTGTATGTATGTGAGTGTGTTGTGTGTATAGTGAGTGTGTTGTGTGTACAGTGTGTGTGTTGTGTGTACAGTGAGTGTGTTGTGTGTACAGTGAGTGTGTTGTGTGTACAGTGAGTGTGTTGTGTGTACAGTGAGTGTGTTGTGTGTATAGTGAGTGTGTTGTGGTGTAGTGAGTGTGTTGTGTGTACAGTGAGTGTGTTGTGTGTACAGTGAGTGTGTTGTGTGTACAGTGAGTGTGTTGTGTGTACAGTGAGTGTGTTGTGTGTATAGTGAGTGTGTTGTGTGTACAGTGAGTGTGTTGTGTGTACAGTGAGTGTGTTGTGTGTATAGTGAGTGTGTTGTGGGTACAGTGAGTGTGTTGTGTGTACAGTGAGTGTGTTGTGCTTACAGTGTGTGTGCTGGTGTTGTGTACTTTTGTGTGATTGTTGTTGTACTTTCCTTTGTCCTGTAGATGATTTTACATCAATCTGCCGAGGGACTGAAGATGGAAATGAGCCACGTTGGCTATAATCTTTACATATTTCCATTTTTAATGTTCATTAATATGTACTGTCCCTTTACAAATAAATACAAATAAGAAATAAATAAGCATTAAATTTACACTGTCAAATATTTTTTTAAGTCTGCAGTCTGGGGAAAGCTTCCCATACAGTCCCAGAAGTACTTTTTGCCCAAACCCAAACATATGGTTCAGATGTTTAGGATAGCTAAGGTGTAATGCATACATGAGTCCAAATATTACCAGAAATACTTCCGGGAAGTTTCCAAATGTGATGATCTCTTGTCCCTCCTGATATGATGGAGGCTTCATTTCCATATTTGATTAGACAGTTGTCTGCTCCACAAACTCTGGAGAGAAGCTCCACAGGGTCACTGGACAGAACAGGCTCCTCTGTGTACTCCTGTAATAAACACACACCAATATCAATGAAAAGACATACTGATAGTTTTTTTTTCTTCTGCTGGCCAGAATATCCATGGTTCTATAATTACAACATGAAAGGTCAACACAAACACACCAGGAAATGACTTAATAGGGCATCATCCCTGGCACTACTTTGTGTGATTATCATGTTGGCACTTACATGCATAGAATCCAAATTCTTGGAGTTCCTTCACACAGCTATGCTGCAAGAGCATGAAGCAAAGAAGAAGAAAGCTTATTTTCATTAAAACAATCAAGTCTAAAATTTTACACATTAAATCAAGTTCTATAATAATCAGCAATGCTATAATGATCATATTTAATGTGCATATGACAGGTTAGACTTAAAAGACATACAGTATAAACTAGATTTAAGATTTGACAATGATTTGACAAAAATTCCCTACTCTTTTCTACTTGAGTCATTTAGGTTATTTTATTTTTCTTCCTTCTCTTTACTTGTCTAAATTACACAATAGTTCTGCTTTTTCAAATATAAATAACACCTTGATTCTGATGAGAAAAGAATGTGGTTTCTCAGAGATTTAGAAAGCTGGCCTGACAAAAAAAAAAAAAGTACACAATTACTACGCGTGAACAACCTGCAGATCACATTATTGATTGACAAAAAATAATAGTAAAGATATTGTCTTACCTTATGAACAGAACTGTATTTTTAGATGTCTATTTAAAGGCTCCTAAACTGAAATTAAAGATAAAAAATTAATTAATAAATAATAATAATAATAATAATAATTCAAAAAACAGGAATAACTTGCAAAACAAAACTGGGAAAATACTTCAAAAAATAGACAATAGACATACTTTGCTACGACGTTCTCACACTAATGCCCTTTCCAGAGCCAGGGCCACCCGCGACAAAGATGATTTTAGCATCTTTTGTCGTGTGAATGCAACTTTGTCAGTATTAATTAACACTTGCTCAAATGAGTATCAAGTTTTGAGATTAGTTTTAGAATCCATTAGGGTTGGAAAAATCAGGTTAAACATCAGATATTAGTGTCTTTTCCATGTGTCTTTTCAATATCTTTTCAATAATAAGTCCACAACCTAAAACATGTTCTCTTTCAGAGACTGGCAAAGAGCTACGATCTTAACATACCTTTCTGTTTCTATATAGGCTTATTAATTGCTTAAACAAATGCAAATAAAATACAACAAACTGGAGAACATTTCTGTCTCTGTGACCCGGATGCCGGCCCACTCATCAGATGGTAGATCAGTTAGTCATCCAGGCAGAAATGAGAGATGTCACGATAGGTGAGTTTCAGCTGATGTCATTGTTATTAAAAGCCCATGTTGCATGCTGGGAAATATTTTGGTCGGAGGCAAGAAACAGGATAGCGGTCAAACACAGTGTGTAACCTCGAGTATTTATCCCCGACAATGGTAAATTCCTGCTGCATTATCAGATGCACAATTAGAAGCACGGAAGAAGGAAAATGTCTTTTTCGTATTCTGAGTGAAAAGAACAACTAACGGTGAATTAAACAACTTTCAAACATCCGCAGAGCAAACGTAGAAGATCCTAACAAACCGTGGACTCCAACAAGTTCAACAACACATCGAGACTCTTGGAGGTTTTCATCTTTTCTGCTGTGAATGGCCCAGGAGTTTCCACCAAGTCATTGTGGATATCGCCCAAGTGAATATTTGTCCCAGTAGTTGCCGATTTTGACCAGAAGTTTGGTTTGGTCCTTTTGTCGGGGTTGAAAAGGGTGATTTGGTGTCTGTCGATGCTTCTGACCAATTTCTGGTCAAATGGTCTTGGGTCCTCTGCTGTTACAGTGGATAAATAATCGGGATCAATACCCTTTACGTGCTTTCTCGCTCTGTCCGTCATGTTGAATTAGTGTTTTTTGCCGCCGACCAAAATAATTCCCAGCATGCAACGTGCACTTTTGTCAACAATGAAACTCGCCTATATACAAAGTGAACGGGGAAGGTTCCTTGTTTGATTCTGGGTTGCCTGGGCCTGTCTTTGAGGAGTTTACCCTGTGTCCTAAGTGGATTTTCCTCCATCAACCCAAAACAACTCTGATAGCCCTGATCAAGCTCAAGATCAGGAGATGGTTCCCCAGAGGCTTTAAGGAAAGGGTCAAATGCAGAGGACAAATTTGCATATGTTGACAATAAAATGTTTAAACTTAATGTGACATTCCCAGAGTAGGTCTACTGCATGACAGAATCTATTTTCTAACTCCACAGATACTTTTTCTGCCAGTAAAATGTAAGAAGAAGAAGAAGTATTTAAATAAATGGTTTCACATTTCTAACACCCACGCAAATACATTCAACTTCCTCATTACGATTGCGTGTAAAGAAGCCGCACCTGTGACATTGTGCTGTACGCGGCCTCTTAGACCTATGATCCTTAAGCACTTATCCCTCACTTACCTGCTTCTTGCTCCACACTGAGGCGAATGCTGAGTGCTGTTTACACTATGTTCTTATGTAGGCTGCACTGAGGCAGTGATGGGCTTCTCCAGAGATCAACTGTTTGATCAAATGAGCTCTTGTCTTGTAAAGCTGCTCCTTCAAAGCCTCTTTCACTCCGACAGCTGGTGCATGAAGTGTACAATCTGTCCTATTCTGGCTCCACACAATGAAGATTTCAGTCTTTTCTGTCAGCAAGGCCGCGCCAAAGAATTAGTCACGGCTGGAATCGTGAGCAATTCAGCAGTTCGAGTCTGCTTTCAAAGATTTCAAGTTTGTTCAGGTGGATCAAAACCACATTTTACATAGAGGTTCCAAAAGGTGATTTTGAGCGGCCTTTAACAAAGTTGAAGTGTGTAGTGCAATTAGTCAGGTGTATACCTTCAGATCAGAGGGACCTGACTCTGGCATGTGGGAGTGAATGACTTAACCCCAAAACCAATTCTTGCTCCCCGTATCACTCACTGAGGGCGTGAATGAGAACAGCACATTTAAATCAGGCACTGGAATATAGTAATCTGAATTCAAGAGAGAAGAGCCGCAGCTCCCCTGTAAAGAGAGGAGCCAACTGAGAGGTCCATGACATTTTTAGATCAGTTCTCCAGACCAGAATATCGACTCAGGGTTCAGAGCAGGGTCCCCACTTCTCCTGACAGGTGAACAGTGTTGGGGAGTAACAGATTACATGTACCAGAGTTATGTAATCAGAGTACAAGTTATGAGTAACTGTATTCAGTTACAGTTACTGTTTCAGTGAGTGGTAATTGGATTACAGTTACTTTGTTGAAATAAATGATTACATGGCGTGATTTTCCTGTTTTCACATTTTGGGCTGTATCCCCCTTCTTTTTTTTTTTTTTCTCGGTAATTCCTAAACTAAAAACTAGAGCTAAATCAGGTCTAAACCAGGTCTAAACCAGGTCTAAAACCAGGTCTAAACCAGGTCTAAACCAGGTCTAAAACCCGGTCTAAAACCAGGTCTAAACCAGGTCTAAACCAGGTCTAAACCAGGTCTAAACTAGATCTAAACCAGGTCTAAATCAGGTCTAAATCAGGTCTAAACTAGATCTAAACTAGATCTAAACCAGGTCTAAACTAGGTCTAAATCAGGTCTAAACCAGGACTAAATCAGGACTAAAACCAGGTCTAAACTAGGATCTAACAGGATTTAACAGGACTAAACCAGGATTAAAACCAGGTCTAAACCAGAATTTAACAGGACTAAACCATGTTGTGTGGACGTGTCTCCTCCTCTTTTATCAATAATATTTTTAATTTGGTTCAGTAAAGTCTGGGCTTTTTATTTTCTTTTAGCAGACAAAACATCTTATGTTACGATATCCTTGTCTTTGTTTCTCTACAGCAAATCAAGTAATCCAAAGTATTCAGATTACGTTACTCACCTAAACTAATTTAATGGATTACGTTACAAACTACATTTTGGGGTATGTAATCTGTAATCTGTAGGGGAATACATTTTAAAAGTAACCTTCCCAACACTGCAGGTGAATACTAATAATCTAATTCCGAATTTGTTTTATAATTGATTTTACCTCTTGAACTTGACAAGTAACACATAGCTTCCCCTCAGCAGAGAGTCTACTTAACCCCATGCCCCGGCGCACATGCCACAATACTGCTTATTAGAGCCTCGGATTAAATGTAGCTCGTCCCACACAGTTTGGTCCATTAATAATTAAGGAGAGCCGCAATATACAATCCACAGTTAAAACAGGGAGTGCAGCAAGTGGGTCAGGAGTGATTACACCACAGAGTCGGCTGACAGGCAGCGAGACGCCATTTGTTCTGCAGTAATTAGCCTAAATGATAGAGTAATACTGCCCCATTAACTGTGGGGAGAAAGCACAACTGGAAAGCTATGAAAAAATACACAACAGCATTAGCGCATTACATGGGGCTGAGAGGATAAGGGCCGGTCTAATCTCCATTCTGTTTACACCGCTGATTCATGTAGCTTGTGATGAACCCAAATAGCCCGGAGCAGTCCTGTTGAATGTACTTAGAGCATAAATATGATGTGAGGGTGTCAGGCCCTGAGGGGAGCAGTGGCACATAGCAGGGCCTGTGACCGGAGAGAGGAGAGCTGCTTTACAAGTGTGTCCCAGCTCCCCGCGGGCGTCATCAATAATGCAGGGCCGTGCAGCTCGTGTTAACACTATCCTTAAGCATGCTCTTTATCAAAGCCCCGAGCTCGCATACAGAAGTAAGACATCGCTCTAGTTTAGAATTTGATTTGTATGCGCATGGCTTAGTCTCCCGGTGCACATGTGTGTCGTAGAGCTAATAAGATCACCTACGTACATGGAAGAAGATATATACGTGAGACAAGAAAGAAATTATATGAGGCTGCATGGGTGAAGTGTCTTGCCCAAGAACACAACAACAGTTTCCATTCCTAGAGCCAGTGCCGCCTCATGTACATGACCAGTCGGAACCACACGGTTTGACAAAACTTAAAGGGACAGTCCAGAATTTTGGACATAGGACCTCAGTTCCTAGTGAGCCAGAGTGTTGGAGACGTGTGGAGACACTTTTTCAAATATTCCATCCAGTTCTTGTATTTGCAGAGGTCACTGGTGCTAGGCTAGTGCATGTCAATGGCCATAGTTAGCCTGCCACTAAAAACAGTTTTACCTATTCCAAAAAAGCACCCAAAGCAAATCTATTATTACACCAGACTGTCGATGTAAATGTCTGTGTCGATAGAATAATTTTCTTGCATCTGAAGGATTTATATCTGAGCAGCAGCAGCGAGTTGTACTTCCTGATGGAAAGCTTGGCACCGGCGGACTGATATCACCAGTGTTGGGGAGTAACAGATTACATGTACCAGAGTTACGTAATCAGAGTACAAATTATGAGTAACTGTATTCCGTTACAGTTACTGTTTCAGTGAGTGGTAATTGGATTACAGTTACTTTGTTGAAATAAATAGATTACACTGCGGTATTTTCCTGTTTTTACATTTTGGGCGACATCCCCCTTATTTAAATTTTTTTCCCCCATAATTCCACTCATTGCCGGACACTAAACAAGGTCTAAAACCAGGTCTAAAACCAGATCTAAAACAGGATTTAACAGGACTAAACCAGGACTAAACCAGGACTAAACCAGGACTAAAACAGGACTAAAACAGGACTAAAACAGGATTTAACAGGATTAAATCATGCCGTGTGGACCGGGTCTCCTCCTCTTCTATCAGTAATATTTTTAATATGGTTAAGTAAAATCTGGGCTTTTTATTTTGTTTTAGCAGATAAAACATCTTAGGTTATGATTTCCTAGTCTTTGCTTCTCTACAGCAAATCAAGTAATCCAAAGTATTCAGATTACGTTACTCACCTTAAGTAACTTAATGGATTCCGTAACAAACTACATTTTGGGATATGTAATCTGTAATCTGTAGGGAAATACATTTTAAAAGTCACCTTCCCAACACTGGATATCACCAAGCACCTATCTTACCGGCAAAGTAAAATTCCGCTGCTGCTGAGAAAATAGTTCCTCAACATGCAACGATTCATGCGATGCAAGGTTAGTTTTATTTCAAACATTACTCTATCAACACTGACATTTACATCGACATTCTGGTGTAATAAAAGATTTGCTCCGTGTGTTTTGTGGAGTGGGTAAGACTGTTTTTAGTGGCAGGCTAACTATGGCCATTGACATGCACTAGCCTAGCACCAGTGACCTCTGCAAATACAAGGACTGGATGGAATATTTAAAAAAGCGTCTCCACACATCTCCTACACTCTGGCTCATTAGGAAATGAGGTCCTATGTCCAAAATTTCTGCACCACGTCTCCACAATTTCACAGGGCATGACAAGCGGATTAACCAGTCAGAGAAACGCAATAGTCAGTTTACGTCAAAAACAAGTCTGGTGGTTTACACGTAAAAAAAACCCCCAAAAAAACGGCTGTGGTTGGATCATCTCAAGTAACACCGTTGATTTTCACTCTCTATTGTCCAGTTCCAGTCCTTTGTGGATTCAAACGGAATATAGAATGGACTAGCTGGTCACGCAACTGCCTCACCGCACCATCCCAGTCTCCCATCCAAGTACTAACCACGCTAGGTCTTGCTTAACTACGGAGACCTGACAAGACCAAACACTGACTAGAAAGCATGGCCACAGTTATACATTCTATTTCACAACATAATAGGTAACACTTTATAATAACTACACCTTATTTCGCCTTAATAAAGCATGAACAAAGACTTAATTAATAATGATTCACGCTTACATCTGTGACATGTTAGTGTCATATGAACATCTCACACTCTGAGGAGCTCAGGGACCGGCCTCCTGCTGGTGCCCAGAGTCACGACTAAACAAGGGGAGTCAGAGTTTCAGGTTCATGCAGCTAAAACCTGGAACAGTCTGAACATGTGAGACAGACTCTTCTGCGACGCTGTTTAAATCTAGACTCAAAACATTTCTGTTTGACTGTGCATAAAACTGAAAGGTTTTCATTCTGCACTCTTCTCTCAATTTATGTCCCTCTTTTTTAATTTTAATATTTATGTTTTGATTTGTTTTTATTATGATTTTAATGTATTTCTTACTCTGTAAAGCACTTTGAATTACTTTGTGTACGAATTGTGCTGTACAAATAAACTTGCCTTACCTTGCCTCGCCTTGCTTAGTAACTACTTAATTACTACCTGAATTAGCACTTAACTTGCACTTAATTCACCTGTGCTGTAAATAGTTACTCAATACTTCTTAATTACTCATGAACTAACCATTTGCATGTTTACAAATGCATATTTAAGTTCACATTTGAACATTTATTAATGATTAGTAAGTTATGAGAGAATGATTAATGATTTAATAATGTAATACAATGATCATTCAGGCAGCTGTTATCTGTTAGTTAAGTCTTTCTGAGAGTTTTTCTAAAGTGAAGACTAATTATGATTTATTAAGCATTTGTTAAGGTTGGTCAAATTCCAGAGAAACAATAATGCATTACTAGTAAATCATTCTCTCATGGCTTATTAATCATTAATAAATGCTCAAATTTGTACTTAAATATACATTTACAAATGCACACACAAATGGTTAGTTCATGAGTAAGAAATAAAAGTAAGTAAAAGTAAGTAAAAGTAAGAAATACTTATGAGTAACTATTTACAGCACAGGTGAATTAAGTGAAAGTTAAGGCAAGGGAAGTTTATTTGTACAGCACAATTCGTACACAAAGTATTCAAAGTGCTTTACAGAATAAGAAATACATTAAAATCATAATAAAAACAAATCAAAACATAAATAATCATGAAGATTAAAATGAAAAAAGAGAGACATAAATTGGAGAGAAGAGTGTGGAATGAAAACCTTTCAGTTATTTGCACAGTTAAACAGAAATGTTTTAGAGTCTGGATTTAAAACAGCGTCACAGAAGAGTCTGTCTCACATGTTCAGACTGTTCCAGGTTTTAGCTGCATGAACCTGAAACTCTGACTCCCCTTGTTTAGTCGTGACTCTGGACACCAGCAGGAGGTCGGTCCCTGAGGTCCTCAGAGTGTGAGATGTTCATATGACACTAACATGTCACAGATGAACTTTGGTGCTCGGCCATGGAGAGACTTGTACAAGCAGAGCTGCTTTAAAGTCTATTCTCTGAGGCACAGGAGCCAGTGCAGAGACCTGAGCACAGGACTTATGTGCTCGTACTTCTTAGTTCGAGTCAGGACCCGAGCTGCAGCGTTCTGGATGTTCTGGATGTTCTGGATGTTCTGGATGTTCTGCAGCGTCTCACAGCTCGTTTGGAGAGACCAGTGAGCAGAACATTACAGTATCTAATTTACTGGAGACAAACACATGGATAAGTTTCTCCAAGTCTGATTTAGACAGTAAACCTTTGATTTTTGCTCTGTTTTTTAGATGGTAAAAGGCTGCAGATGTTATTGATTTGATGTGACTGTTAAAGTTCAAGTCTGAGTCCATTATTACCCCTAGATTTCTTGCCTGATTTGAAGGTTTTAGAGAGAGAGACTGGAGGTGATGCTGACACTGTCCCTTTGTTTCTGTGGACCAAACACTATGACTTCAGTCTTGTCAGAGTTTAGCTGGAGAAAGTTGTTTTGCATCCAAGTTAAGTGCTAATTCAGGTAGTCATTAAGTAGTTACTAAGCATGAATCATTATTAATTCCATCTTTGTTCATGCTTTATTAAGGCTAAATAAGGTGTAGTTATTATAAGTGTTGCCACATAATATTGTAATTGTGATTGCTTTTAAAGGGAAGACTGTGACAAGCTTTGTGTAGAGCTGCTACTCCTCTACATGGACCTCCTCTATATGACTTTACTCTACAATACGTGGGAAAAAAGTGAAACATTACCTTGACGATGTAGCCTATTCCAAAATATTTATCATATTAATCAAATACAGACTGATTTTGACTATACAAAGTTATCTTGTGCTCTGGTGAATGAAATTTAATAGTCTATCAAATACCTTCAGATGAGCGTCATTCTGACTTTAGGCAAAACTCCTGCAGTTAAACCGGAAAAAAAACGAGTTTAGTTCTTCCACAAAGATCGACTGTTGCACGTAGCGAGCGGAGCGTCGGCCCATACAGCTCCATAAAGCCTTTATCGCTGTGGGAGACGTGATGCCAGCATGCAGTGCAGTGAAAATCCCTCTCCGCTGCAGATAGAAGAGAGCAGCATACGGAGTTTATTGATCACGCTTCTCTCCTCGTGTGGTGAGTAATGACAACTCACGCTGGAGCTCCCCGCCGCTGCCTGTGGGCCACAATGACACAACTTTATCATATTCATAATAACCATGTGTGCAACCTGCTCCCTAGTCCAATCGCTCTTTTCGCAACACAAACACAAACTGTAGCTTAGATAACACAGAATGAAGAAGGATGGCGTTGCATGATATCAGTTTACAGTTGTCTGGATATTACTGGAAGTTTGATTAAAGGCATTGTACTCTGAAAATGTGAAAAACAGGATTAGTTCATTTGAAACAGTTTGCAGTGGTTCAAAAAATATCCTGACTTACCTTAAACACACACTTCCTAATGATCAGACTATAAAATGCTTTGTAATTAGATGCAGGCAGTACACAGCTGACTTATGTTTACACCAAGAAAAACACGTACTTTGTCCATTTTAATTCATTGTGTAGGATACATAATTGGCAAATAATGTGTTTGTGTGAATGACAGTGAGTAAACAAGTAATAGGTTATGAACAGATAGGACCTACGTTTTGCCATAACATCAAAAATCTTCTGCCTGTATTCTATTTTAGGTCCATTACAAATTTTCAAGGTAATCTCTTTGCTCAAGATCACTCTGACCTTGTTTTGTATGTAAAATATGTAAACAATCAACTATGGAAAAAAAAAAAAAAAGAGAATATATGCTGACCTGGTTGTCTTTTTGTAGCTTGAACTTTTCTTGAGGAGGATCCACCACATTGTCTGTGTTCTTGCTTTGCCAATCTCACTTTTTGATCAACCTGATGGTATCAACATGTTTGTCTCCATAAAAGTAATTCGGTTTACTGCCATACTGTGGATTATTCCCAGGAAAAGTATGAACATCTGGGCCCGGTCAAGCAGAAGTATACAGCAAGGCCAAAAATTCAGCATATGTACATAGTATATGTACTCTAGTTTATGAAACTGTTGACCTTTTTTCTGTACCATTTTTGGTTCTAAAATTCTATACATTTTAAACAGACCATGTATGAAACATGGAACAAAAATTATTTCCCAAATATCAAAGACCTGCAAATCATGTAAATAAATGGATGTATTTCATCATATCTTGTGTATTCCATCTTTGAACTGTTGATGAAGGGACATGATTTAAAAAAAAAATTAAAAAAAATTATGATAAAAATTTGCTTGGAAGGACTGACAGATTTTATAGAAATAGTTTCCTTTCATTTTGAAGTAATATTAAAGTATTCAGAAGAAAAAAGTGACAAATGATGTAAAATCCTGCACCTTCTACTTGTTTGCACAATTTTCCCTCTGTTACTTTTCCCTCCGTTACCATGACCTTTCTTAATAAAAAATCTCATGAGTCAAAAAGTAAGAGGTTTTTCAACCTAATCTTGTACCATATGGTAGAAAACTATATGAAGCAAATATTCAAACCAGTTTGTTAAGGATATGGAAGTGAGAACCACTAGTTATCACTGTTTGGATTTATTGCCCAAAAAGTGCTGCATATTTCATTCCCTCCGTTACCAACATTTAAATTTTTGTCAACAACTTGAAAGAATATCACAGGTTTAACTTGACCCTGTTGGAGTGTAACTCTTTCCTACATTCTGATACTTTACTTATTTCAATAGTTCCCTCTAGTTTCTGAATAAGAGACATTTGAATGTCAAAAATCTGCCCCTGTTTCCCTCCGTTAACACTTGACCAGGACCCAACTCCATTGTGACAATAAGTGGAAGACCCTTCACCAGAAAAGTTACATACGTGCACCATTAAATTTGATTTATGATGTTATATTCAATCTTTGTTTGTCTTGTTTGGTATTTAATAATGAGTTTGAGTCTTTTGTGTCTTTCTAGAATCGTTGTGATCCATGGCAGTGATCCAAGAGCTGTTCTCTCTGTACTTGGCAGTAAATGATTAGGGGCCATAGTAAGTAACATTATGACCCCTTTGTGCTCCACAACACCATGTGTACAGTATAGTAAATTTAAAGGAACTGTAAGAGCAGATAAACTTCAGGTTAAAAGCCATTCTCTTAAATAGTATATTGTGACGACATTGGGCAGAAGGCCAAATTGTACTTGTAGTGGAACTAGTCAGTGTCTTGACTGCATCATATATTGCACACTAAATAATTTACTACAAATCTTCTGAAATGTAGAGATTGAACACTGATACAACTCAAGCTTCCTTGCTTAGATATAACTGTTTCTGCTGCATATTGTTAAAAATAGGCACGAGGCAAGTGAAAGTGTGACAGGAAGGCGTGCGTCCGGATGAGGTGGAGCACAGAGACTTTGTGGTCTGAAGGGAAATAGAAGTTTGTAGGTTTGATGCTGAGCCACACAAGCAAAAGATCAGACTATGCTGCCAATGGTGAGAGGAAGAGAGCAGTGCAGGCAAATGGGGTCAGTAAGGAGTGATTAGACCTTTGTGCTCAATGGGATTAGAATAGAGTCACCACCCAGAAACACTGAGCAGCTTCACTTTGTTTAAACAAATTTAACTATTGAACTTTTTTCTTTGTTGAATGATATTTGCAAATATTACCTGTAATAACTTGTTGGTTGACAAAGTACGGTGGAATTCCAATTAAAACAAATGTGGATTTATCAATCTTAAATGTGCACTAAGTAACTTTTTGGGTGTAGTGACTGCCACCTGCACGTCTCCATGGAGATATTATTGTTTACTCAGTAATTTCTAAATGATCATGACACTAAAATTTACTATCTCCTTGAAGACAACAGGCAACACCACAGGGCATGGTGAAGATCAGGTCTGTGAAGAGGCAACCACTGTTTTTCAAATATATATATTTTTTAACAATAAAACAACTCTAATGCAAGTAAAAAATACCAGATAAATATGTTTATTGCCATACAGACGAACATTCTAAGCAAAGCAAGATGGCACACACTCTTGACAAGTTAGAGCAACATAGAGCATCTTTAAACAAACCTTTCAATCAAAACCAAAATGACAGTGTATGCTCTGTTCAAACGAATGACTCCTCCTACCTCTCTACAGAACAACTGTCCGCAGTAAAGATCACAAGTAGTGACAGAGCGCACACTCCCATTGGCCGCTCTGTAGATGGGACATTATAGCCTCTCTGTAAGCGGCCTCAGGAGGGACACATGATTGAAAGCTGTTGTCAATATAAGTCCTGGCTCGTGTCATGCACTGCTGCTCCGTGCACTCTCCCCCTGCGTCTGGTCCACTCCACACATGCCGAGATCGATAAACGGACCACTCCATGCCGCATCCTGTCATCTGAGAACTGCCTGAACATGTCTGTAAATAAATACACAAGAGCGCTGTGGGAGGAAGCACTGGAAACTATGAATGTTGTATCTACTGAATGTGTCCAGTGGTGGGTCTCACAGTGCACATGATGTGTTCACAATATTTCTGCTAGTTCAGTGTTTGTTTTTGTGCTTCTAACAAACTCTACAAGTGCTTCTACAATCACACACCTTTTATGTGAGAATAAAAGCTTATACTACTGCTACTAAACACAACCATCTGAGTGCTATGGTACCTGTAGGCTACGATTATGCAACATTTTGAGGATTATCACCAATCAAAACAGGAGATTTTTTAAAATGTATTTACAGTATGCTAAGTTTTTTTCTGTAAGTCCTTTAGCAATGTGAAAGTGAAAGGCAAATGTCTGTAGGACCTGTTAACAGCCTATGTCACAGTGACGTCACAGCTCTGGCTGGAGGCACAAGGCGGAAAAGGCTGGGCACTGTAAATGTGTGAAGTTTCACAGACTTTAATGTTTGCATGTTGCATTTTTTGGTGTCAGAACAAGAGGAACTGCACTTGTGGTGCAAAACTAAGGGTGCTTTCACACTGACAGCAGTTAGTACACACCAAACGTTTCACTTGATCCAGAAGCTCTTAGTTTGGTTTGTTTTCATTGGTATGAAAGCATCAATCACACTCGGATTCTCACTAAATCAAGCTGACAGAGACTTCAAAAAAGCACACCTCCACTGCAAACTCTGGTCCAGTCCCTCTGGTGAGAACATGAAGTCTGGTCCAAACCATAGACAGTAGATCCAAACACTGTTGAGTGCTCGTGAGTGTGCGTGCACATGAGTACCCCAGTACCAGTATGGACAGTGTAGATGGAGCAGCCTGGGCCAGCGCTCCCAGCAAAAGGTGCTTTTCAGGGCAGTGGTGCCCTGTGAGGACCTAGTTCTGGCACCGACAGGATGAGCTCAAGGCTCCAGACTTTTTGGAGAGGACATGGTCGTGAGTGTGAAGATGCTGACAGTGCACTATCTCATGCTGCAAGGAATACCTCTGCATTACTGGCTGCTATGGGCATAAAAGAAGAGAAATGGTGTGGCCCCCATTGTGCCAGGGCCAAGAAGCCTATTCCATCTGGACTTAATGACTCCAGACCAGGGGCCTCTCATGTTATGAAAGCTTTGAGAGACTTGTTCTGGCTCCATTCAGACCCCTGGTGGCACCATCCCTGGATTCTCTACAATTTGCCTATCAGTGCCATTTAGGTGTGGATGATGCAGTTATCTATCTTCTGCAGCGGGCTCACTCACACCTGGACGGTGATAAGAGCTCTGTGAGGATATTGTTTTTCGATTTCTTCTGTGCCTTTAACACAATCCAGCCCGTTTTGATGAGTGAGAAGCTCAGGATGGGTGTCAGCTCCTTCATTGTCGCCTGGATTATTGACTACTTGTCAGACAGGACTCAGTACGTGGGACTGTGGAGCACCCTGTCCGATTCTGTGGTCAGTAATGTAGGTTTCCCCCAGGGTACAATACTGTCTCCTTTTCTGTTCACTCTGTACACCTCTGATTTCCAGTACAGCTCCGGGTCCTGCCATCTGCAGAAGTTCTCTGATGACTCTGCAGTGGACAAGACCGAGGAACTGGTGATTGACTTCAGGAGGAAGAGGACACCAGTGGAGCCTGTGGCCTCACTGTTGGTCATGACATTTGTCCCAGTAAGGGATAGGAGGACACTGGACAAATTGCTCTAAATCATAGTCATTCACACTGCTCAGAGGGACAGATAATACTCCCTACAACTGTACAACAACTCACCCACTGCACCAGACTATAGAGGGACAGAGGAGTTGATTCTCCAACGGGCTCCTACAGCTCTGGTCAAACAGTGAGAGATACAGGAACACACTCATACCATACTCCATACAAATGTACAACAACTCACCTTTATTTAACAGAAAATACTCCCTATACCTCACCCTTACGTAACAGATAACTCTATGTCCTGTCAGTCATCATATAACTGTAGCACTGTCTTCCTATGACCTCTTGTATATAGTGATATATAGAGATTTTATATTTTATTACGTATTCTTTTATATACATCTATATAATTATGTCTTATTTGACACCTGTCTCTGCTATCTTTTTTGTACTTATTTAGAATTTATTATTTCTGTTTATATTATTTGCTCTTTGTGATTATATTATATTGTGATGAGTGAACGACTGTGTCCAAATCATTTCCCTTGTGGCTCAGTAAAGTTTGCCTAAGTCTACTAGCTGCTCTGTGCGCGCTCACTCGTTCTGCTGTAACAGGCTCTGCTCTCTGCTACTCAGCCTCTCATGGAGGAGAGGGGCATTTGGAAAACTATTGATAACAAAAAAGGTTTACAATATGCTTTTTAAAATAAAAATAAATAAAATCCATGAATAATAAAAGCAAATAATATTTATATTTTTTATGATCACGTTGTTTTAGCTGTTTTAATCATGTTTTTAATCAACTTATTTATTACCATAGTATTTATTAGCATTTGGAACAATATCCAAGTCTCATGATACTGATACGATATTGTCATGGTATGAACCTCATGGTACGATATTTATTGTGATATCGTGGGAAAGCTCATGATATGGTGGGGAGGCTCACTATTAGGGATGTAACAATATCCAAATCTGTCTGTATGATATTTTCATGATATACATCTCACACTACGATATTTATTGCGATATTTTGTGGAGGCAAACAAAACTGTTAATATGCAATTTTTTCATTTTAAAATGCCTTGACAAGGCTTAGTCCGCAGAACTAAGACTTAAAAATGCTTAGAACTGTTATTTCTTCTTGTAGTCTACATTGAAATGGAGCAAAGGATCATGGTCTGTGTAGTTCCCTCAGTTTTTCTTTTTTTTTTTTGTATTTTAGCTATTGCTACACCTTAACTCTTAATTTAAGCAAAGAGACGTGTAATTCAAGATACTGTGATGGTCCACGATATTATTGTGAGAACTTTAACAATACGATATGACGATATTTCAGTTATTGTTACATCCCTAGTATTTACGGATCCTTTATCTATCATGAATTGCTTTGTTATTATACATAAACATGCAACACAGGTCTCCAGGAAGAATAGCTGATAGCTAATGGAGGTCAATTAAATACAACCGATTGAATAATTATTTTGCATCTGGAGACAGATCAAAGTCTTAAATACAGTTCTTTAAAGTATCTTGCGAGTTTAAATATAGAAGAAAAGACATGATGCAACAGCAATGTACATAACTTTGACAGATTTATTTGTGAAAAACTACAAGCAAAATTCATAAATAGACATTTCTAGTTGAAGCGGAGGAAACTGAGGATAGCCTATAAGCGCAAAGTCGTGCACATGCCCCAAAACATGTAGTATTTTAACATCAGAAGCAGGACAAGGAGCTGTGGTCTGCAGAAAATGTTGCACATTTTCACCCAGAAACAGAATGTGACCATTTCACAAGGGAAACAATGACACATCAGCTAGAAAATCAAAATAACAGATCAAATAAAGACTGGATTAAACAAAAGATGGATTATTTTACCGTCCCTACAACTTTTTTTTTTTGTCATTTTTTAACCAAGCAGTAACTTGAAAAGCATTGTACAAGACATTGTTATAGGAAGAAATGAGTTTGTATTATACACTTCACAGTTAAGATTATACAGTCAGTAAACAAGCATTCTATATTTGGGTCTCTGACAAACAAAGCTAAAAAATGTAACCATCTTTACACAGTAAATTAAGGTTACTGGTCGCACACAAGAACAGAACTGCTTGCGCGGGAAAAGGAAACAAAAAGAACTGAGCTCCAAATGCCATTTTGCCATCATAGTGTTGCACCTTTAATAATTCTATTTACAAGCATTAATTCATATACGCAGCAAATGACCATTTTGTCAATAATATTAATAAAAGAGCTGTTGGAGTAGTGTTGAGTACTCAGTCAAGTGGTGGCAGATAAGGCAGGTGTACACATGGCTCACGTGGCCACAGATTGCATTAGAAAGGGGGGGGGGGGGGGATTTTCAGTAGAAATTCCAAAACGCTTCCCATCGCCTTTCCTCACTTCAAACACCGATTCTCGGCCATTATAACATTTAATTACACATTTAGTTACATAGAAATTTAGAGCAGGGAGTTGTCTCTCCAGGACATTGCATACTTTAGGGAACTTGCTCTGTTAGGGTCTCAGTGTGACCAGGGGACCCACAGCCTCCAGGGACGCCTTCTCCAAAGATGAATGCACAATAAGAACACCGTTTACATGGATTATATTAGTCTTTATTAAATGGATATTCATCTCACAGATAATTGCATTTCAAATTGTTATTCATCTGTCTATGTATCATGTCATTATGAAATACCTTTGGTCCTTCAATAAATAAAAGATATCATATACACATTTATTCTTTATACAATTTCATACAGTAAAAGGAAATTAGGTGGGATCAGCTAAGTTGACAAGTGAATTAAAATCCTTAAATAATCCTTGCTGCCCTAAAAGTCGCATTCTATCAACTAGAAATTACAAGTTTTTTTTGCCTTCAATGACAGGAGTCTTAAATTAATTAAAACACAGAAAACAAATGTGGATTGAATTGTCTGTCTGCACTTGCTTTGAGGGATGTTGAGAACAAAAGCCGTCACGAGGACCACAAATAAAAGAAGAAATCCACACGAGTTTGGATACAACGGTCTATTTTACAGTTCAACAGGGTTTCGCCAAAGTGGAACTGCGTGGAACCATCCCTCAGTCACAACAGAAACCAAAAAACAGCCCGAGAAGGAGCGATTGAGGAATGCAGAGACATGGAGAGCGTTAGTGTTATCACAACAGCCTACACTGTACAGATAAGAGACAGGATAGTGGATATGTGAGCGGCTTCCACAAACAGCGGCAGTGTCTTTTGGTGCCAGCAGTGAGACCAGCTCCGTCGCGTTCCATTTGAAACTCCGTGACTCCCGTAGGTCTCCAAGGCTTTTTCACAGTGTATCTAGCACCAGAGCGTGTGGGCGTGTCTGTATCTCCGCTGTCAAACACTCAAGAGCGGACGGTTGGCGGCGCTACACAACAAAGCGTCAAGGAAAAGAGAAGATCAAAGTATACAGGTGCAACAGGTAATAAATAAGGGAATAATAAGAGTTCAAATGGTGGTGGTTATTGTGCCCAGCGGAGAAATCTTCTTTACAAAAACAAAACAAAAAAATTGGCCTGACATCCACATACAAATATAAAACAATACATACAAGAGTCTGGATGCTACTGCGGGATGGGGAAGGGGGATACTCCTTTAGTCTCTCCTTTAACCACAAACCCTTGCTGCGTCCAGACAAGTCGTGGAATAGAGGCATGTGAATGTGCTCCCCACTGAGATCCATACGGTCCAAAATGTAAAAGAAAAACAGGTGGAGTGGGAGGGGCCAGAGGGGGGGGCGGGGCTTCAGAAGGACTCATCGTGCCCCATTGACAGATCGCCCTTGGGCGTGGAGGCGCGTGACGAGCCCTTGTCCATGCTCTCGGAGCCAGAGCTCTGGTGCTGCTGTTCAGATGCGGTGCTGGAGGTGATGGTGGAGGAGGAGGTGGAGGAGGAGCGCGTCTTCTCCTTAAAGTCTGTAATGATCACCGTAACGTTGCCCACGGTGATGGCCAGCTGCTGTGCCGTGCTCCGGTCGATGTTCTTCAGCTTGGGCCTGTCGCACACAGAAAGGACAAGTTAGTACCATTTTGAAAGTCAAAATGATGGAGGAGTTACTGTCTGAAAAAGGCAGCTGATATGGAGAATCTTGTGGGAAAATCAAACAGTTTTATGGAGGACAAATATAATGTAATAAAAATCTATTATGAGAGTAATAGATATACATTATATATAAAATATATTACCAAAACTAAATTCATTTTTGTTGTGAAAGAAATTGTCCATTGGCAGTAATTATAACAATGGTAATACAATATCAAAGTAAAAGAGTTAGGAAGAAAAAAACAAAAAAAAAGATGTGTTCATGTTGATAATTTTGATTTTTTATTTTATTTATTTTTTTTTTACTTTGGTGTACTTGACCTTTTTTCAGTTCTGGTGAAAATGATGAGAGATGATCCGAGATGTCAAGCACAATATGTGCTTGTGAGCAACAACAAGCAAGCGGCTGCCAGCTCTGAGGGGGCGCAGCTGACACATAAAGTGGTTACACAGTGAGAGTGGGAGTTTAGTGTAAAAGAGCGTTTGTGGAATTGTCTGAGGTTTCCCACCAGCCAGAGATGAGTTCCTCTGAAGTCAGTGGCTACAGACAGTGAAACTAGGTGAGACAGACTGAAACCCTACTCTAGTTTCAGTATTGGGAAATCAGGCACTGTTTAGAAATCAAGTAAGATATTTGAAATGCTCCTGACTGACTTATTGACTCAACAGATGAGTACGAAACATAAAAGGTGATTTTGGAGCACATACTCATATAATGCATAGTCAGATATTTGTGATATTTCAGTTCTTCACTCATTCTCAGTGCTTCCAAGCCATCTTCATGATGACTCACCTTGACTGGTCAGGGGTCATTCTCGAAACTAAAAAAAACTACTTCTCCACTGCCCACTCTTCTGTTGTACAAGTGTTTTATCCCACACACTAAATACCTTTTACAACACTTTCAGGTATAATTACCGTACAATTTCCACGTGTTGTTTTGTTACTCAAACAGGTGGTTAGTGAACACCGTTAGCACACTCCTTTAATACTGAACATAAACTTCACACGTTTCAGCAGAGTTATTCTTTAAAAATAGCCCCCCCCACACACACACACACACACACATACCAAACAGACACAGACACGCTCAGACTCTAGTGTGAAATTCATGAACCCTTAATACTACGACATTAACACTGGAGCTTAATCTAATCCTAATATTCCTCTTCAACTAATTATAATTACAATTTACCCATTCAAATTCTGGGACAAGTCACATTTTGAGTTTTTACCTGCAAATGTGTGCGTTCTTGTTGGTCTTGGTCACCGACTTCCCAGACTGTATACTGTGTTTGTCGCTGGGGGGGCTCTGGTGCTCTGTTTTGGGTCTGTGAGGAAGAGGAGAGAGGGGGGAACTTTGAGGTGAATATCTCAAGAACAGCAGAATCAGTTGAGATTGTCGGGTTTTGCACACACTCACCTGGTCTTTTTACTGCCAGGCTTCTTGGTGATGGCGGGGGTGATGTCCTTCTCTCGGTCGGGCTTCTCTTTGATCGGCTGCTCCTTGTCGCTGCACTCTTTGTCTGTGGAGTCTCCCTCGGGCCTCACCGTCTCGGGGCGATCGAGCTCGGGCCGCCGCTCCCTCTCTCCTTCTCCGTCGGGCCTCTCCTTGTCAAAGCGCCCCTCGCCTCTTTCCCTCCGCTCCTTCTTGGCCGGCGGGGGCATGGGGAACTGCTGGGCCACCTGCTGAGCCACCAGTTGGGAGTTGATCCTGGGTTTCCTGCGGGCGATCAAACATGGATTAAGCGTTACAAGGGGTGAGTGAGCCTAGGGGGCGCTGCAGAGGTGGCGTTCCGAGCCAGTGCCTCCTGGCTGCTGCTGCTGCCGCCGCTGTAATCTCATTAGGGGTTGTAACGGCGGTAATAAAATGAATGCGCGGGATCACAAGGCAGGACATTTGCAGCATGTCACTTAGGTACTCTAATGTGATTACTGGAAGGCTGGCCCCATTTGTCAAACACCAAGGCTCAGTCAGACACGGAGAAACTAGCGCCCACAGCTCCCCGTCACCTAACACTAGAACAACCAGAAGCATCAGTTATGACTTCTTACATGTTATTATTCTAACTTATTACTAGGGACAGGACAAGATCTCGCCAGATAAAACTGCCATAAGATTGAGCACACATAAGGAAAAGGAGATTTTTTCATAATCGACACAGGATTAAAAAGGACTGAATAGTGATTAGTTAGACCTAATGCTAAAAAACAGTACTACAATGACAACAAACATTAAACTAAACTAAAAAGACCAGAACTGAACAGGATAGCACAATTTGTTACCTCCGCCAAGGAGGTTATGTTTTTGCCGGCGTTTGTCTGTTTGTTTGTCTTTTAGCAACATAACTCAAAAAGTTATGGACCGATTTTGATGAAATTTTCAGGATTTGTTGGAAATGTGAAAAGGAAGAACTGATTTCATTTTGGGGGTGATCTGAAAGAAATCCTGGATTCTGGATCACTTTGAAATTTTAGTTAACATTGTGGTAAATGGGGCCAAAACTTTTGTTTCTCAATATCTCGGTTAATTATTGACCAAACCCCATGAAATTTGACTCAGGGATGGACAATGGGATCCTCTTTCATATTCCAAAGGCTGATCCGGATCTGATCCAGAAGACTGATTTTATCGCAATTTATATAAAAAATGAGGGTAGTCCTTGGCGGAGGTCTGCGCTCTCTGAGTGCTTTTCTAGTTTATTATGAAGTATGTCAGAATCTTGTCTTGTCCTTGTTGACCCAATCTCGTCTCACGTCTCATCTTGTAGAAAGTGCTTCGTCAGAATTCCAAATAGTCTTTTCCATTTACAAGCAGGCAGCAGCACACAAATGTATGCAGAACTTGAACTAATCAACTGAATCCCCAGCTCTATAATGAGGTCCGTCAATAATAACTTTGGAACACAGCGTCTGGTGAAGTCTGGGACACTTTTATCCTTATTCTTTTCTCAGTAGGATTTTTTCCACACCCCTAAAATGATGACTTCACATAAAAGTTCTAAAAACAAATCTTTTCCGACAGTAACAGGTGAACCTTAACTGCATACTCACTAGAACATGAGGCGTGACAGAGAGCAACTGGCAGAGTGTGGGAAGGGGAAACAACAATCCAAAAATCCAACTGCCCAGAGCCACAAGTGGAGAGCGCTCTGGTGTAATCACAGAGCAGCACCGGGCACTGGGCAGCAGGGAGCGGAACGCCACAAATGAGACGCAAAAACACCAGCGTGCCCTCGACAAGCTCAGAGCACACAAACAGCACCGTGACCCAAAGCTCTGTGCAGAACACGAGGTGGACCGGAAACACACCAGTGTCAGAGCCTTCTGCCATATTATATATATCACACATATACATACATATATACATACATATATATATATATATACATACATATATACATACAGTGAGATGCATAGCGTGATAATATTGTACCACGAGATTTGGATATTGTTACATCCCTAATTATTGATAATTAGTATGTTGTTCAGTTCTATAATATAGGTGTGTCAAAGCAACAAAATGCCAAAATCAATAATTTGTACCTTCAGCTAGCTCCATGTGTTAGTATTACAGGTCAGTCCGTTTAAACCACGAGAATGGAATGCACAAAGTATCAGTTATCAGATAACACTGAGCCAACACAGACAAAATACCAAACGTACTGACTCACAGGGCTGTGTCAGCACTATTTACTGTTGAACTTGACCTACTAGAAATGACACGCCACTAAAGGTTAAAAGGTGGAAACAAAGGTTGAAAATATACATGCATATTTTTAATACAATGAGAAAAACATGCAGTTAGACCAAAGCGTCAGTCAATATTAACAAAATACTCTGAGCAATGTAATAACCTGGCAAACCACAGACTTACATAAGAGAGACAGCAGACCTGTTGGAGTGCTGTCAGAAAGGTACAAAAACAGGTAAAACCCGATGGAGCGCAGCTGTCAGGCTCATGACGTAACTACTTTGGGAAGTGGTTTTTCAGACACTGTGGAGCGGTTAACCTCAACATTTCAATATAACAACACAATGTCCCAGCATCTTTACTGTGGTGCACTGAGAGAAGGATTTACTCTTCACTTGATAGTGCTCTTTTTGACAGAACTGAATCCAGGGTGGTGGTGTGGAGAACTTGGGAGTTGAGTGTTGAGCTGATCAGAAGCCAATCGATGAAGCATCATGTCACAATGTCCATGCTACACACAGATCAATACAGAGCTGAGAGGAATGCTAATGAGTCCGGACTGATATTAGTAAGAGCTCAGAAGAGCGAACCTTTATTTTTTTTTACTTCTAGTGGTAACAACGGTAAGACCAAACCACTGTCAAGGTAATGACACATGATGTTACAAGGGTAAAGATATGTCCCTGCGTAGATTAAAGACGCCCCTACAGTTGCAGTTGTGAGAGATTGAATGTGATTTTATACAACGTACACCGTAGAAGTCTGGCCTCATGTCCACATCTGTCAGCACAGCCCCGAGAGCCGCTACTGTCAGTCAGTCCAGTGCCCTGTTCATGACCGAAGGAGATGAGCAAGTCAACTCAAAATATTAAGTGTAAGTGATACAGAACCTGTAGACCAGAGGGTTGGCACTTAGATTTGCTTTAGTGTTTTACAAAGAGACAGTGCATGTCAACAGAGTAGAAAAACCCTGAGAGGTGGAGTAAATGTTCACACAAGGTAGTGGTGGCGTCAGCCAGAGGGATGGATGGCACTGCATAAATTCATATTGATTAAGAGAGTGCATCAGATGTGACAAGACAGATACCTGATCCATGTTAGAAGGCCATTAGCTGTGCCAATGGAGCAGCATATCACAAGAGTGTCATGAAAACACATTTGTCAGAATTACTTAGAGCTACGGCCAAACAAAGTGTGAGAGGACAGTCATCATTCTGTTTGGCAGTGGGAGCCATTAGGCAGTACAGTGCTGTGTCTGATGGATTGATTGATGCAGCAGGTGCTCCATGAGGCCGCTGTGGGAGAGAGGTCCTGATAGACTCTGAGTGTTGGCACTGGCTCTGCTCTGAATCCTGTGTGGTTTACAGTGATTCACAGCCAGCTGTAAGTCAGCCACGAGCTGCTGGCCTGACGCGGACCTGTCTCTCCATGCCCCATTACTTCTCCACTGGTCACACATTATGACAGGCTGCCCTGGGGCTGTCAGCCAGCACTGCACACACTTCATGACACTGCCATCTGATCATTCATTAAATACTGCAAAACACTGCTATAAGCCAAACAACAGCAGAGCAATGGCACACTCAACAACAATGGAATTCAAATATGTCAAAACCGCCCTGAACTTACATTGAGTAGTGCCAAAAGCACAGTATTAGAAGGACTGAGTGGGATTAGAATTTGACCCTATGCCCCGCCCAATACTTAATCCCATTCAGCGTAATACACTACCACACTCCCTGGCAGAAAGGATCCTGAGTCTCTATTGGACCGAGCAGGTTAAATAAAAATCAAAGTAAAACTAAATGGTTTCAGGTAATGATTACAGCATGGGTCTTATACTAAAATAGCACTTGTGTTGCCAAAAAAAGACAATAGTGATAAAATAACAGATGGCAGCGGGGGTGCTAATACTTGAAGTTGGCAAAAATCCAAATTAAACAACCGTCAACATAACACTTACAGATAAAAAGATAACAATCTGGAAGGTTTGTGGAGTTAAACTAAGAGGTGCATTTCAAATATTGCCAATACCATATGTCATATAAGACAACACAAAATAATTGTAATCTGGCATTGGAACAAATTATTACATCAAATTTGCATTACAAATTGACTTAACAGATAGTTAGGTAATGATTTTGACCCTGAATGCACATATTCCAACATGAGGAAACGTACATTTGCCCTAAGCCTCTTCTGACAAGAGTGTATCTAGAAAACGTTGTTCTCAAATTCCCCTTTGGTTATTACAATAGAACCTGTCAAAGGGTTGGCAAACATCCAAGTCCCACAATTGTCTCTGATGTGCAGCTAGAGCTATAAGAAATGATGGAGAATCTTAGAGGAGTTAAGCCCTAATTGTCCTCACCTCCCACAGCTGCCTGTAAACTCCTGTGGATTCAGTATGCTGTATGTACAAAAGTGTGCTGTCAACTCGAGCCTGTTTGCCCACTGTGAAGGCTCCGGCGCATTAGCCCCCCTGCCCCACAATACACCATGACTGACAGCTGCCCTCAAGTATGCTGCCCGGGGGAAAGAAAGGAGGAGGGGAGAGGTTTTCCTCCACAGGAAGCCCTCAAATCACTATCATCTTGTCTAATTCACTGCGGTCGACACCCGCAGTTTAGACTGTGCACTTACTCTGGAGACAAACCACCTGCTTCTGTCTGCGCTGGACTGACAGTGCCAAGCAAACAGAGTCCCAAAAAAGTCTGAGCATTTTGTGTAGACACAAGAGTAATGAAGAGGCGGAGATGGAGTGTGCGATGGAGAGTGGGAGACATAGGAAAGCCCTCATTAACACAGCTCTTCTATTTGAAGTGGCGCGGAGAGGACAAGCAATTATTTCCTGCCAGGGGGAGGAGGGAACGCAGCGGAGGAGTGTATTATTCCACATCAGTGGCCCACAGAAGAACATTTAACAGCACTCTCTGCTCCACATTAACACAACATCTACACTAGAGAGGTCCTTTATGCTGGCTGACGCAGACGCACAGAGATGGTCTTTTCAAACCACCATCATGAGA